TTTGTTTCTATTGTTTCAGTATAAATTGTTAATTCGATCAGTTTGTTAAGCGAATTTCCTATTCAAAGGTGTAGGCTTATTTCCGGATGTCTCTTAGTAAAACTCCCGGGACTAATTTACTTTTTCGTTTTGAAGGGTCATAGAGGCCAAAAACACCATCCGTCCACATTTTTATGTCCGTCAGCACGGTAACTCGAGCAAATATAGTCTGATTTTGATTCAATTAGGTATAAACGTGTAAACTTACGTTCAATAATAAATGAGGGATTTCCCGTTTTGAACCTAAAACAAACAGTTTTTCTATTTCTTTTTAAAAAATTGTGTAGAGCTTCAAAAAAATTATTTAGTACCACGAAGCGTTGTTTGGTACGCCTGACGGGGGAATAAAATTAAAAAAAAATTGTAAAGTAAAAATTACTATGTTATTTTCATGAAGAATAAATAAACTGTTGCAGTTTGCTCGTTAATTGACGGATATTGTACCTAATACAATCGGAGAGTTTTGTTTATTTCATACCAAGCTATCGACATTTTAACTAACAAACATACCTCTTTACTATCACTTTAGCAGCAAACTTAGGTGATCATTAAATCACTGTTATTTAATTTGGAAATAAATTAGACAGTTTTAAAGGAATATTTTTTTGTAAATCATAGGTAAATCTTAGGCGATCCTCTAGGTGAGCGGAAATTAGCTTAGTCTGCAGGTTAACTACGGCGGGGGTAGTTTATTATAAAACCGTTTACACTCCAAAGGATTTAAATCTGTACAAAAATTAACCAATAAAGAAAATTAAAGATACAAAAAAAATCAATTTGTACCTTACAGTTACAACTGACTCATTAAAATAAATTTGATTCCGATGAGAAATCAAACTGCGTTATTTAAAAATCCTCGCCGCAGCAAACCTGCAGACTAAGGAAATTTTAATTCGTCTGTTTGGATCTCCAAGAAGAACTGGTAATATTGCGATGAGTACAATTTAAATTTATTTACTTATATACCTATAAATAATGTTAACTAATAGTGGTTTTGTCCATTAGGGTGCCAAAATGCAAAAAAAATATATATATTGCTCCCGGGCCCAGGTCTTACGATGAAACCTTCAGTAATAGCATTTTTACTTAATTAAATATCACTATTATAATTCCAATAGATAAATTACTACATCTAAAAGATTTTATAAAATGTAAATCTATGAAATGTACATTTATAAATATATAAAACTAGCAGAGTATCCGTTCTTCGTACGCGGTTGGCTTATAGGTATAAAATGATTATTGCAGTTATACTCTAGCTTTGCTTTTGCAATGGGGGAGGATAAGACTTGAGAGAATTCGGTTCTTTATATTTACGGTATGCTATAGTATTACAGATATAGTTCAGTATATACAGTAGGCCTATAGTAGCCTATTACATATCTACCATAGCCATTCTGTTCCACCCCTGCACCTGAACAATATAAAATAGTAAATTATCAAACATTCACACAATATTACAAATTATATATTAAATTAAAAACATAAACATTACTGTAAAAATTCCTACTTTGACAGTTCTCATAGTGTATCAAAGCTTTTTGATGCTGCTTACTTCAAATTAGCTGGTATCTCAATGGAAAAATATATAATTGTGTGTTGGTAAACCTTATAACTTTTTAATGCTATCGAATACCCCCGCCGCAGCAAACCTGCCGACTAAGCGAATTTCCATTTGTCTGAATTGATTTTCAGTTAAATATATTTTAATAACATTAGGTTTAACGAGTACCTAGGTTTGCTGCTACAAGTTAATAAAGTGTGTTTTTGAGTAAAATATTGATAGCTTAGTACAAAATAAATAAATTTGCCAAGATTTGATCAAAATATATCCATAAACAAGCAAACTACAACATTTGACAATATTCTCCATAAGAATAACATGGGAATTTTAAATTTAACATTTTTCAAATTTTCTCCGTTACTAATAATCGAACAAAAATACTTTTATATACTAAATTATTTGTTTTTTAAGCTCTTTAAAAAGGTCTAAAGAGAGATCGGGAAATTTTGTGTTTTGAGGGTCAAAAGTGAGAAAAACCAATTTTTACCCCATAAAACCCCTCGTAAAGCCCCGTTCCCATGGTTAATACTTGTAGAGTACTTTCATCTATTTTATATTAATTCGTTCTTTCATAACTTAATATTCCTTTATTATGTGCTTCTTTTTCTTTTATCAAATTTCATCAGTCTTCTTGCCATACCACAAAATAAATAATGTCTAACATAATTGTATATATTGTATATATATAAAATCAATTACAATTCATTATTAACGCTAATTATTATGTTTTATTTATTAACTCCTAAAACTACTTTTCTATTAATTAGTGATGAACCAAAACCTTTTATAGTATTGAAATAGCTACCTCAAAAAAGTTGATAAGGAAATGAAAATAGTGATGGAATACTTAACTTATTTCTGTGTTTGCTTGCAACATCTAGTAACTTACAAAACAGCGTGGTTTTTCTATTCTATGGTTTTATTAGGTATGCACGTAATCTGTGTACGCTTCAAAAATAAAGTTGGCAATACTTACAGATACTTTATTACGACTACGATCAGAAGGTGCAGAGTTTCCCATTTCGTTGGATGTTTGGATTTAACTTAACCTAAAAACATGTTTGAAAGACTAAACTATTTATATGATTTGTAGAAAAATATAATGTGTTACACGAGTGCAAACTACCTTTGCCGCACTCGAGAAACTTTCAACACTCGCCCACGGATCGTGCGTAAACATTTCTCTCGTGTGCAGCAAAGTGCCACTTCGCCCACTAGTTACACAAATAACTATTGGGATAGTAATTGGCCTATTTATTAATGGGTAAAATGATCTATCATCATGCAAATTTTTAACCCAATTCGAGTCATTTCTTGATTGAGCCCCAAACAAATTACAAACACACACACTTACAGCTTTATAATATTAGTACGGTATATAATGATGTTTCGATTGCCAATTGACTAATGCTGCCTAGGTTCTTTAATTAAGTCTTTTAATTTGTTTCCTGTTATTTCAGTCATTTAAAACATCATTTAACCAAATAAAACGATATAATCATAAACAATAACTGGTCTCCTAGTTATATAACCAAATAGTAAAGCACAAATCATAAAAATAAAGCTAAAATAATAGAAACAAAACTTCGTCTACCCCAGCGATCAGTGTGGACGTATGAACTAGACACGAAAATCAAGCTTCAAAATTTACAATGGGATGAGAAGTCTACGCCTTCACTCTCCTCACACTCTCTCTCACTCTCCCGCCCCCTCTTTACTCGACCACCCCTTTCCCCCAGTCCCAGCGAAATACCCGGTATGGTACTGGCGGGGAGAATAGGCTTATGCCAGGTAGTCTTCTCCACTCGCCTTGACACTTTAATGACCCCTGAATTTACGAGTTCGATAAGACGACTAGCCAGTTCTCCTACACTCGTTCCGGATGTGTCTAGTCTGGTTCCGGTGACTTACCTATAAACACTCTGCTTTCTCCCGGGAGAGTTCTCACCTTGGGAAAAGGATTGTTTGATTTTAATAACCGTGGTAACCGGAGCAGTTAAATACCCCCGACGCAGCAAACCTACTTACTAAGAAAATTTTCATATTGCTGACTGGATTTCCATTTAAATGTCTCCTTAAAGTTAGTATATTTATTTTTTATTTAAGTAACATAAATTGTAATGAGTACTTAGGTTTTCTGCTACAGGAAAGGTAATAGGGTGCACTTTTTATTGAAATTTGATAGCTTGTAAAAAAATTTGCCAAATTCGATTAAAATACATCCACAAATGAGCAAACTACGACAGTTTTTTTATTCTTCATAAAATCACACGGAAATCTTTTAACTACAATTTTCGGGATTTTTTTCAGTAACAGTAACACAAAACTCTTCATTGTTCTAAATGATTTTTTTTTGTTCTACAGAATAGTTTGGTAGTAAATAGCAAACTTTTATGATTTTGGTGGTCAAAATTGGGAAAACCCTTTTATCCCATAAAACCCCATTCCGATAGTCCGATCATGCAGTTTCACGCAATTGTTTGAATACACACAATTTACACGTTTGCACCAAACTTTATCAAAAACGGATAATTTTTACTCTAGTTATTGCGCTAACGGACACACAGACATGCATATACATACAGTATACATATGCACATGAATATAAACAGATGGTGTGTTTGGCACATAAAAACGTCAAAGTAAGTCGGTCCCGGGTCTAGGTCTTACTATGAAACCTACATTAATAGCTCATTTATATAAGAAATTCTCTAAAATTCAACGCGATGAATTGTTCACACTCAATTATATTTAGTTAGAAATATTTGTTTGCTATTTCTTACTATCAATGTTCTAACTATGCATCTTGTGCTATGCTAACTAAGTCTGTAAACTTAATACAATAATGGCCCTGTTACACCCCTTTTCCCACCGTCCTACTCAACTGATTGTACGATCAGGTATAATTTTAAATATTATGATCTAGAGCACCTGCGAACGGTAATTATCTTTAGGGCTTTGCCTCACATTTAATTTATTTAGTGACCATTTTAAAAGTTCAAGTAATATGCTGACCAACTTTGCGCGTTAAAAGAAGTGATCTAACAGCTGATCCTACAGTTGAATTTAACCACAGTCAAATTTTAAACAAGAAACAGGCGGAACAGTTATATGAAAATTTTAAATATGATATTTTTTTGATAACTGCAATCTGATTGGTTGGTAAATCACTGTTCAGTCTTTATAGTGTTGATCTAGATATTAAAAAATAAAAGGGTATCGCATTAATTGGTTATCCTTGGAATTCAATAATAAGATGCTAAACCTGCTCCAGGGCCCTCTCGTATTCAATGCTCATGGACAACCGCTGGACATTTCAACAAATCGTAAGTAAATAGTTACTACAATATACAGTGCAAACAAATATCGTTTAATCAAATTAAAATCTAGAACTCACGTTTCATTTCTCTACCCTCCTTGGTGCATGGACCAGTGCCGAGGACGCACTTGAGGTAGGCGTTGAGAACTCTAGGGTTGCTCAGGACTGTGTCTACATTGAAAGATTCTTGTTGTTGTTTCGCGGCCAGGACTGCCGAGGCGAACACGACCAAAAGCACAACGCACTTCATGACTGTCCGAGGAACGGCGCAACAATGAAATCTGACGAGCTACATGAGTTTCTATATGGTGGGGCGCAGGAACCCGGCGCGGCTGCAACCGTTACGGACCCGAGCGGTCAGTTGGAACCGTTTCGCTATCCTAGGGAGAATTTTCGAACCAAGGGGATGGTGCAGGCAAGCATAAAGTATAAGTTATAAAGTAGTGAGTGCATAAGCAGTTCTGTAATTCACTGTTACTTTTCACAACCTTTTTCTTGTTGGTATCTGACGTGTAGGAGCAGTATTGTACGTCACAGTTACTTCACATACGTTTTCAAATCCTGTTATTTTTCTGTAATGAAGCTCGATTAAATAATTGTTACACCTACTAAGTTTCTCTTTCAAGCTATCTTCTCTTAGTCCACTAGCAGTTCCGTAAGTCACCTTTACTTCTAATATTTTGTCTGTGATGTTACTCAAGCAAATAGATAATTGTTACCTACACCTCCTAAGTTTTTATTTAAATATATGCTATCTTATCTTAGTCTATGTGCATTTCCATAACTGACTGTTAATTCTAATTTCTTCCCAGGTATTTTCTCCGGTCTGCACTAGCAGTTCCGTACGTAACTGTTACTTTTAATCCGTTCCATCACCTGTTACTTCTTCACTCGCTGCCTCCTGCTGCTTGACCTAAGTTCACCGACCAAGCATCTCTGCATGATGTCGTCTCGTCCCACTTGTATTGTTAGATGGGTCTTCATGAGCTATCAATCTGTCATATCATCAGTATTACTGTACAGGCTGACGAGGTCGTAGGTTGTTTTGATTATTTCTGACATTGATGACATATCGGATAGGACCACTGACTGGAAAGCATCAGATAAACATCTTTTTAAAGAAATAGTATGTTTCTTTGACAGTTATAAAATTGACGAAATGGGACTTTCGTGACGAATATTGAACGTTACTTTTGATCACGATGAAAAAATCAGTTATTGAACATAAACAAACCACCAAAACAAACAAATAAATCACGATGGTTTGTTTACATGTTTAAACAAATGTCTAACCTGCCAGATAAGATTCTCCAAATGGCTTAGGATTAGATGATTCAGGGTACTCCTAAAAAAGTCTTGCAAGAGGTACCGGTACGAGGAATAATATAGTACATTTTTGGATTGGTGCAAGAAAGAGAAGGTTTTCAGAAATCATATAAGTGATGATGTGTTGCTTGTTTATTTTTCTGACAAGTCGGCAACTATGAAACCATCAACTTTGTGGAGGAAGAACTCAATGTTGAAGAGTTGCTTGATAATCCAAAAGAATAAATATAATCAGTACCCGTAGCTCCTTTTGAGCCAACTGGAAACTTCAGTTATAACCTTGTTGATGTCAGGCAAAGTATTGTTTGTGTAGCGAAAGTAATGTTTATGTCAGGAAAAGTCAGCTGATCACTATTTGTTTTTGGTGTATGACTATTGACGATTATCGAAGATCTCAGCTGTATGGAAATGGGCTTTTTTCGAATACAGAGTGATTGAAAACAGTTTGCAGCATTAAACGTTTAAATTTGTTTAAAATGAAAACAGTGGCTGTCGGTAAAGCAATTACCATGTGTTTGAATAATACTACATAATATTTCAAGTTACCCATGATTTAAAAATACTACAGACGTATGATTCAACTTTCTCTAATTTACAACACTGTTACTATAGCTTATATCGATTATATCTTAAGAAGTGATTGATGTCTCTAATCAAGGACACAGCTCGCTAATTGGATTCGTAACGCAATTGTTTAAAATTCAAAAAGAGATGAAAATTTCCAGTTATGGTTTTACAAATATTTGTTTCTATTACAAACCAATCGGAATAATATATTTATAGTTTTTTTTATGTAACATTCACAATATAAAAACGATTGTTATGTTCAAGCACAGACAATGGAATAAACATTAAAGTATTATATTGTCTGTGGTTCAAGCTTACACTGTTGAAATCAACTGACCAAGATAAGTCCAATAACCCATCAATGTAAATATTTTGTTTGCATTGGTAGTTGTGATTTAGCATTGCGTTAATTTGCCTTTTCTGTAGTAATTCTTGCTAAACGATCAATCAAATGTTTAAAAGATTTAGACATTCTGAATATTTTATAACATTTGCCTTTAGTTCCAATAAAAGCATTGTTAACACGTTTTATATCATGATTTAGAGCAGTGCACGGTTGAGTTATTAGAACCACAGCCCTTATACTCTAGGGCTTCTTGTTCAAATCCGTCCAATACTCAATAGATTTTAACCATGTGATAAGGATGTGACCCAGTAGTTTGGAGCTCACAATAACTTGAAGATTCATCAGGCATCATTATATTAATGCTAGATATCTTAGAATAAGAGGCTTTACTTAAAGGACACCATACGCTCTAAAAATTTCTTCTGACTGTGTGGCAGAATCAAAACTATAAACTACATCTAACTGGAAACATAACAAAAAAAACGATAAACTTATGATACTAGCAAAATTACCCACGTGAAATAGTGAAAAATAAATCAAAATTAAAATTAGCAGCTTACGCAAATTAAAATTGTATATTTTAATTATTACAACCCTATAATAAAGATTCATGCCCTTAGGGTGGGGTTTTTATAAAATTAATATAATAAGCAGGCATTTCTTCTTCTTATCAAAACCTTTCAGTCAAGTATGCGGTTAATAATCAGACTATTTTATCATATTCCTTAAGAAGATCGCTTAAGAACGTATATGGAACGTACATGAATGAGATATTGAAATGAAGTATTTGGACATAGTATTTGTACCTAATAAAAAACTTAGGTTTCTCATTCGCTGTACAACAATGTGCTGTGTGCTCACTAGGCTCTTGTTAGTTCAAGGAAACGCCGCCGGAGAGCAGGGCAGTTCAGGGGGCGGTCGGTAATGCAGGACAGCAATTTTAAATAATTGATTTTAATCTATGTAATCATAAAACCACAGAAGGAGTAGATACCCTTAATTTATCAACTTTTATTAATAAAATATCCTACGGATTTTATACAAAAATATATGTTTATTAGTAAAAAATACGTGATTGTAAAAATATTAAAAAAATGTTTTGTCCGCAATTATGTTATATTTTTCACTTCCAAAAGAATTTAACCGCAGTTATGGGACTTCAATACATTTTTCAGGTTAAATATAAAAATAGTATATTTTCTGAACCGTTATAAATATACAACCAATTAAATGGCCTGCAGTTTTGTGAATACTTATGCTAGATAGTAATGTGTAGCGTTTGCAGAGTCCATATAACAGGCGCTGTCAAACTTCATGAGTTTGCTGTTTATATAGATAATCAATGTTTATAGTTAATAGCTGTACTGATTACAGCTCCAATACAACGAGCAAAAAATAAACTCACTCCCATACATATGAGAATCTTAGTATATTCTATTTTGTTTACATTCTTGTTGTTTACATACTACAAGCACTGATCTATTGACATCAAAAGTAGGGGTTTGAAAGTAAGTAGGTTTACGCTTTTAAATCAGTTTATATATTCATACTAAATCATAGAGTTGCTGTATTTTAAAACACACATCAGCACCACTTTAATAGCTCTCTAGGTCACATTTTCTTCCCGTTGCAAAGCACGGGTATAGCAGCTTGTACTCCTATTATTCCCGTCCTCGGCCTCGCTTCGTGAAAATAACTCTTACCTCGGCTTTGCCTCTGGAACTTGATTGTGCAACGGAAATTGCCACTTTCGGTACTCGTGATAAAATACTATTAATAAAAATAAACAAACATATACAACCTAATTCAAAACGAATTTCACGCAATTCTTATGAAACTGCATAGCTCTAAATTGCTTCAAAGCCAGTTCAATAACATAAACAGCATAACGACATTTCGTTTCCCCAGAGGTTTATATTACATTTTCTACATAAAAGCTTTGCAAAGACAAGCTCTGTACGTTGACTCCTGTCCTATTTCTCCGACATCTCTGCTTTTATCTTCCATAATGGCTAAACATACCTCTTTGACCTATCCTCTGAAAAATATTGACCTAGTTTGTCTTTGTAACGTCTTTTTACTCGTCTTTTGTGAAGGGTCTTCAATAGTTTTACATGTTTGGAGTCATAAACGTGACGAAATAGTGAATTGTGTAGACTTTTCACAACTTTTAAATATTGCCAATGTTTTTCGTAACAATATTTAAAATAATTTTACAATAATTTTTTTATATTTTGGTGATAAAATTGTCAAACTGTATGTAAATACACAAGGTTATCCAACACGGGTCTTGTGTGGCTTCACTAATAAATTTAAATATTTTTTTTAGATAGATGAAAAAAAATCAATTGTAAGGTAATTTTATTTTTTTTTTAACTATTGTAGAAACGAGTATTTGAATTAATATACTTCATAACAAGAATAGAAAAAACAGTCATTACATATTCGAGACCATGCGTTTGAAGTGCGAAATTTATCGAGCACTTTGACAAAGCCGAGAATATGTAGGGCCTAATAACTACTTAAACTCGTGTTTTGAGCGATACTTTACGCTACACTAAAATTAATTATCTTAATTAAAATTGACATTTTAGGTTATGTCTTCAGTTTAACAATAATATTTACTTTGGTTGTACAGTTTTGGCTGTTGAAAATTGAAACAGTTGACAAAACAATAACAAATCTTAGATTGTACGTCGGCAAAAACAAGATGGTAAACATTCTTTTGCCGTAGTAAACAATGTAATGATGAATTTTCGCAGCTGATATACATGTAAAACAGGCCATTTCACAGTAGTGTAGCAAAAATAATTTTTGTATGATTGCGTTATATTATTTACTTTGACCATTTATTTTGCAAAAAAGTTTTGAAATTTGTAAATCGTGTACAAATTTTCATACAGATACCCAAATAGTCTAAAATTTTAATTTTTAAATTGCACTCATCTCGCTAACAAAGCGTTAAAAATTTTTATGAAAATTAATCCTAAATTTATTGCTCTTACGGGACACCCTGTATATAATTACA